AATTAAATTTTCAGGCTAGCGGCATGGAGGGGGCTTATAACGTGCTATCCAATGTTGAGCATCTATATCATACAGCCCATCCGGAGATGCAGGCGGCAATCCAATATGCCAAGAGCCTTCTCTACACATCTCTGACTGTCGGAGGCGGAGAGATCGGTCAAGGGACGTCGTCAAGCCAAGTTTTATCACAAGAGAGCTACGTCCAACCCCAGAGGACGCAGTCACACCGAGCGAGGCATCAACCTCCTCCCCATATTCGTGGAGGTAGAAGACGACGTCACCGCGAACCAGTTGCCGACGACGGGCCTGAGGATCAACAAGAACAAGGTAAACATCTTTTAGTTAACAAAAATATAATTTTATTTTTGTTTTGTGATTTTTTGTTAAGTCAAATTTCTGATTTCTTAAAAAACTGAATTACTCAGCTGTAGAAGAAGAACAAGAACCTACCACGCCCACAGCATCGACTTCTGCACAACCACCACAGCGTCGGATTAGCAACCGACCGCGCAACCCTACGAATCGATACACTCCTAGTTAGTTGTGTTGTATTCGGAGACATTTTGTAGACATATATATTTATTTTTTTCTTTCGTGGATTTATGTGTAATGATATTTGAACTTGTTTGGATTTTTATATTTGGAAAGTGAATTATTGTGCTTTATTATTGTTTCTTTGACATGGTTGATATGGGATTTCTGAATTTATATTTCGTTGTGGAATCGATCTCGATTAACAGGTGTGTGTTTGTAATTTTGTCCTTGTGAATTGCTGTATTTGCACAGTAAAACGTATTTTCAAAATACGTTTTTGTACTGTGCAAAATTAGGTCAAAATCGATTTGGGGATAAAATTAGGGCGAAATCAATTTGGGGCAAATTTGGTTAAAAAACGTATTTTGAGAATACGTTTTTGTACTGTGCAAAATTAGGTCAAAATCGATTTGGGGATACAATTAGGGCAAAATCAATTTGGGGCAAATTTGGTTAAAAAACGTATTTTTAGAATACGTTTTACTTTTCCAAATATTATTTTCCAAAAAAATTAGTTTTTTAAAATTAAAAATATTAATTTTAAATATTTTTTCAGAAAAACGTATTTCGGTAATACGTTTTTTAACCTATTTTAATTAATTTAATTACGATAATCACCTTAATTAATTTTTTATAGAAACACGTATTCTCAGAATACGTTTTTGTTGAAAAACGTATTGTGAGAATACGTTTTTATTTAAAAAACGTATTCCGAGAATACGTGCTTTTTATTTTTTTCCACTTCTTTTATTTTTTTTTATTTATGTCCACTTAATTTTTTTTATTTTTATATAAATAAATAAATCGTCTTGTACACCTGGTTTTTCCACACGAAATTTAATTGAGAAAAATCACTGCCCTTTGAGTATATTTTAAACATTCAAGTTTAATATTTTGAATTATTTTTTAATTAGTTATAATAGTTTTCAAATGAAACGAAATAAATATTTTTACATTTTAATTAAGAAAATCACCGCTTTTGAAAATTTTACTCATCAAGTTTAATATTTTAAATTATATTCTTTTAAAAATGAAATGATATAAATATTTTTCCATAGTTTGGCATTTGTGATTCAAGGGCGAAAGCACTCGGTCTGTAGGAAACGGTAACAACTGCCGGATTCAAGTCACCACTCTCAACATCACACCCAAAATCTGGTAGAAAAACCACTTCGCCTCAACGGGTCGGATCCGCGAGCCCGAGGATCCGGATATGGACGCGCTGCAGGAGTCGGGTTGGGAGGAGCTCCGGAAAGAAGCTCGGAAAATCGAGGGCGATCTAGATGTCAAGCTGTCTTCGTATGGGAAGCTCGGCGCTCGCTTCACCCAAGGAGGTATGGAGTTTCTGTGCCGCCTCTATTAATATGCTGATTTTTTTTTTTTTTTTTGGT